TCGGGCACCTTGTCTGGTCTGTACCTCCCCTCGTTCTCGACGAACTTGGTGAGTGGTGCTGACCTGCAGGATGCGGGGGTTCACCAGTTTACTCCTGCGAGTCAGCGGGTGACCCACTGCTCGGACGCCCGCACAGGCCGACACCTGGCCACGTTTTCGCGTCGGCCGGGGTCGAGTCTCTACACCCTGACCACTGAGTCTCCTCCTGTCCCTGCGTCTGGCCAGGTAGCTGCGTCGGGTCAGGTGTTTGCTGCTGCGTCCAGGTCTGGTCCTGAGTCTGCCCCCTGCTCGTGTCGCCGCCTGTCTCAGGAGACTCTCCTGTGGCACCACCGTCTTGGCCACCCCTCCTTGCCTCGTCTTCGGGGCATGGCTTCCCGTGTCCTTGTCTCTGGTCTTCCCCGGTCTCTCCCTCCCCTTCCTTCGGGACCCGGACCTTCCTGTGTCCCCTGTGTCGAGGGGCGGCTCCGGGCTGCCCCTCACTCCTCCCAGTTTCCCCCGACAGAGGCTCCTCTGCAGACGCTTCACATGGACGTGTGGGGCCCGGCCCGCGTCCGTGGGCAGGGTCACGAGCGCTACTTCCTGCTGGTGGTTGACGACTACTCGCGTTACACCACAGTCTTCCCCTTGCGCAGCAAGGGTGATGTCACTGAGGTGTTGATCGACTGGATCCGCGCAGCTCGTCTCCAGCTCAGGAGGAGCTTCGGCTCGGACTTTCCTGTTCTGCGTCTGCACTCTGACCGAGGTGGAGAGTTCTCCTCTGGCCTTCTGCGAGCCTACTGTCGTGCACGAGGCATCCGCCAGACCTTTACGCTTCCGGACTCTCCACAGCAAAATGGGATTGCTGAGCGCCGCATTGGCATGGTCATGGACGTCGCTCGTACGTCCATGATGCATGCGGCTGCCCCCCATTTTCTGTGGCCGTTTGCGGTTCGGTACGCGGCGCATCAGATCAACCTTCACCCCAGGGTCTCCCGGCCGGAGACCTCCCCAGCTCTGCTGTGGACGGGGAAGGTCGGCGATGCGTCTGCGTTCCGTGTCTGGGGATCTCGGGCGTTTGTCCGCGACTTGTCTGCGGACAAGCTGTCCCCTCGTGCTGCTCCCTGTGTCTTCCTCGGCTTCCCCCCTGACGCCCCAGGGTGGCAGTTCTACCACCCCTCCTCTCGTCGTGTTCTGTCCTCCCAAGACGTCACGTTCGACGAGTCAGTCCCCTTCTACCGCCTCTTCCCCTACCGCACTCCTTCCCTCCCCCCGCCACCGCACTTCCTTGTGCCAGGTCCCCCCCCGGTAGACCCCCTTCCCCCTCAGGGTCCTGCCCCTTCAGGTGTGTCCCAGGTAGACGCAGTCGAGCCGGTCGAGGTTGCTGGTGACTCTGGTCCTGCTGCGGGTGCTGAGCCTGGGGGTGCTGACTCTGGGGGTGCTACGCGCGTGGGTGCTGAGCCTGGGGGTGCTGAGCCTGGGGGTGCTGAGTCTGGGGGTGCTGAGCCTGGGGGTACTGCGACTGGGGGTGCTGAGCCTGGGGGTGCGGAGTCTGGGGGTGCTGAGCCTGGGGGTGCTGCGACTGGGGGTGCTGAGCCAGGGGGTGCTGCGTCTGGAGCTGCTGAGCCTGGAGCTGCGGAGCCTGCGGCCACTGGACCTCCCCTTGTGGTGTCTGGCGGTGCGGGACCTGGCGGTTCTCCGGGTGCTTCGCCTCGGCGGGAGCCCCTCTCTCCACAGGAGCTGCGCGAGTGGTTTGCTCGCCGCTGGAGACGTACTGCTGGAGCTGGAGCTCCTTCGGCTGCTGAGGGTACTTGTGCCGCTGGTCCCGGAGCTGCTGGGCCTTCGGGTTCGCCTGGAGCTGGAGCTGCTGCGGGTGTTGGTGCTGAGACTGCTGCTGTCCTTCCTAGCGGTGGTCCTGCTGCGGGTGCTGCTGGTGCTGCTGGAGGTCCTCCCGCTGGAGGTGCGGTTGGCGCTGGTGCTGCTGCTGAGGGTGCTGTCCCTGCTGTGTCTGGAGTCGCCGCGCGGCCTCGGCCGTACTTCGTTCCCCTCCTACAGCAGGTTCTTGGTCTTTCTCCTCCTGCAGCGTGTCCACCGCCTGTTCAGTCACAGTCCCAGTTAGAGCCCGCCTCCCCACTTCCTGCTCCCTCTCCTTACACTGGTCCCACTGGAGGTCTTGCTGAGCGTCGTGAGCCTGCGTCTCGTCCTGCGTCGCCTGTTCGTGCTGCTCGCGCTAGTGGTCGCGGTTCGTGTCAGCGTCCTCCTCCTGTCCCTGGCACGCACCGGATGTCTTTGCGTCCGTCCACTGCTCCTCTGCGTGCCCCTTTGCCTTCTCCTCCTGAGTCCTCCCTTCCTGCACTTACCGACCCAGAGTCCGACTCTCTTCGTGCTGCTAGTCCTACTGTCACACGTCTCCTTGCTACTGTCGTCACTGACCCCTCTTTTGAGTCCACTGCTGCGTCTGCGCTTGTTGCTGAGCTCGTCGACTTTGCTGCTCGCTGTCGTCTAGACTACGCTGCCGGTCTTGTTGCTGAGTCTGCGTCTGTCTGTCCTCCGTCCGTCGGGGGTGAGTGTGCTCTTGGCACGGACGTCCTTGAGGACAGGCAGGAGGAGTTCCAGTGTCTGGCTGCTGCTTCACCTCATCTCGCGTCCGTACTACTTGCCCCTGAGGGAGACCCGGATGCACTAGACATCCCGACTCCGCGCTCTTACGCGGAGGCCGTAGAGGGTCCCTACTCCTCTCAGTGGCAGGCAGCTATGGATGCAGAGATGGCGTCCTGGAAGTCCACAGGCACCTACGTTGACGCGGTTCCCCCTCCTGGGGCGAACATCGTCAGTGGCATGTGGATCTTCAGGGTGAAGCGGCCGCCGGGCTCTCCACCTGTCTTCAAGGCGCGGTACGTCGCTCGTGGCTTCAGTCAGCGGCAGGGAGTTGACTACTTTCAGACCTTCTCTCCCACCCCGAAGATGACCACTCTTCGGGTGCTACTGCACATAGCCGCTCAGCGCGACTACGAGCTCCACTCTCTTGACTTCAGCACTGCTTTCTTGCAGGGTAGCCTGCACGAGGAGATCTGGCTGCGCCGTCCACCTGGCTTCACTGGGACTTTCCCTCCTGGCACCCAGTGGAGCCTCCGACGGCCAGTCTACGGTCTCCGCCAGGCACCGCGTGAGTGGCACGACACACTGAGGACTACGCTTGCGGCTCTTGGGTTTGCTCCCTCTACTGCTGACCCGTCGTTGTTTCTGCGCACCGACACTTCTTTGCCGCCGTTCTACATCCTCGTGTACGTCGACGACTTGGTCTTTGCCACAGCTGACACTGCTGGACTAGCCTACGTGAAGTCCGAGCTGCAGAAGAGACACACGTGCACAGACCTGGGTGAACTGCGCAGCTACCTTGGCTTGCAGATCACTCGGGACAGAGCACGCCGCACCATTACCTTGACTCAGTCACACATGGTGCAGCAGGTCCTTCAGCGCTTCGGCTTCACGTACTCCTCGCCTCAGGCCACTCCTCTGTCTACTCGCCACTCGCTCTCAGCTCTGCCTTCGGATGAGTCCGTAGAGCCGAGTGGCCCGTACCCAGAGCTTGTTGGTTGCCTCATGTACCTGATGACCTGCACACGACCTGACCTTGCATACCCTCTTAGCATTCTTGCACGCTATGTTGCTCCTGGGAGACACCGACCAGAGCACATGGCTGCAGCGAAGAGGGTGTTGCGCTACTTGTGCAGTACGTCGGGCATGGGGCTAGTGCTTGGAGGGCGGAGTCCAGTGGTCCTCACTGGGCACGCGGACGCTTCTTGGGCTGACGACCAGGCTACGCAGCGGTCGTCGCAGGGTTACACCTTCAGTCTTGGTTCCGGCTCTGTCTCGTGGCGGGCTACACGCTCGTCCTCTGTTCTCGGCTCCAGTTGTGAGGCTGAGATCTACGCCAGGGCCATGGCTGCACAGGAGCTTCGCTGGCTCACCTACCTGCTGACTGACCTTGGAGAGCCGCCTCGTTCTCCTCCAGTGCTGTACGTAGACAACAAGGCCATGCTGGCCTTGTGTCGAGAGCAGCGCCTGGAGCACAGAACGAAGCACATTGCTCTCCGTTACTTTCTTGCTCGTGAACTGCAGCAGCGTGGTCAGTTGCGACTTGCGTACGTGGCCTCTGAGGCCAACACTGCTGATGTGTTCACCAAGGCACTTGCGCCTTGTGACCATCAGCGCTTCTGCACTCAGCTGGGTCTTGTACCTGTCTTGCCTCACTTGCTCTCCTCTTGACCTTGCTTGTACTGTCACATATATATACCTGCTCTTGCTTGTCTAGCTCTATATATATATGTGTGCACTCCTGCATGTGAACTGGCCTTGTGGCCTTGTCGTTGTGCTCGGACTGTGTGGTGACTTTGTGATCCACCCTGAGCTTGCTGTGCTTTGCGTGACTGGTCTTGTGACCCCTTGTTCTCCCCCACTTTGCCTATGGGGGTGTGTCAGAACATATATATAGCTTATGCTGTTGTGTAGGCTATAGTGGGGTATCCCATAGGGGGTACAACCCAATTAGGGTTTCCTATATGTACTCACTTCATTCATAGTTCATTCATTCGCTTTCTCCTTTTCTCAGACTCGACACACACACTCGACATCATGACTCAACATTCACACACAATTATAAGCATGAAATATATATTATCCCATGCCCTCATACCATTCCATACACACACACATTCACGCACACGGACAACAAGCCGAGTGCAAACCGTAGGGTTGCACCAACACACTGCGAGGGGATGAAGTTCTTCTGTGCGCAGTTGCGGTTTAGCAGGATCAATAGCTCCCGAAACTGGAGGAGGGTAGAGTAGAGACAATTGTGAATGGTGGATATCCGAATGGTGGACATGTGAATGGTGGATATGTGAGTGGTGGACATGTGAATGGTGGACATGTGAATGATGGACATGTGAATGGTGGACATGTGAATGGTGGACATGTGAGTGGTGGACATGTGAGTGAATGGTGGACATGTGAATGGTGGATTACAATAGAAGTATGAAATAGTCAACCACATACTGCCAAACCACTAGGCATGGGACACTCACGGCCTCGGACTCGACGATGCGGAAGGGGAGGTCGCAGGTGACCACCAGCTTGGCGATCGCCTGCCGTAGCTCCTCCGTGGACAGCTTGGTTGTCATGAACCGCTCCATCCCGCCTGACCCCTCAGCTCCACCGGACGCCGTCCTTTTCTTCTTTGCGAGATGCGGCCAAGACTTGGCATGCGGCCACCCATCGACGTAGCCATCCGGCACACCCTTGTAGCCCCCACGAGGAAACGTCTCCCCAGGCAAGTGAACGGACGGAGTGTGGTAACGGTGATGCCACACGTGCATGTGCGCTGTGTGGTAGCTCTCGAAGTGCCGCTCGCCGGGTGTTGTTGTGGATTGCTTCCACGAAATACTGTCAGTGCAAATCTTGCACTGACGCTTCTCGTCTGCCCCTTTAGGCCCGAACATCTGTACTTGCCACCCCGGTTTTTTATTACCCTTGCCAGTCCCCTTACTACTCTCGGACCCTCCGTCCTCGTCTAGGAACTCCGGAGCGACCACACCCTCGCCCAAGGGCTTCCCAGTGAATGTGCAGGGATATGCTCGCTCCCTCAACTTGCTCGCCCTCTTCCTCCGCTTCGGCATCCTAATGGATGCCCGCTTTCTCCCCACCTTAACCCCCACGCTCCCTCCTCCTTCAGCCACATGCTGTGAGGCCGCCTCTGTCGCCGCCCCTTCACCACCCTCTCCCACCCCCTCCTCCACCTCCTCTGGCTCCAACCCATCCATCTCATGGTCCTCCTCATCATCCCCCCCTTTCCCACCGCCATGCGTCTCGGGATCCCACCCGGCCTCACTGTCATCCCCGCTCCCCTCATCGTCCTCATCCTCCTCGCCCTCACCCTCCTCCTCATCCTCCTCCCCACTGCCACTCTCCGGCTGCGTCTGCCCAGAAGGAGGGGGTCGCGGGCCTGAGTAACGGAACGAGTGACGGGACGTCGGCGCCGCTACGGAAAGAAACCCCCCGACGAAACAAGCGCCGGCTCCTGCAGGTCCATCCCCTACTCGCCCCTGCATAGGTCGTGGTGGAGAACCTGGTGTACCGCCCTGAGCGCTGCGTGCACCTCGTTCTACAGATCCATGTTGGCTGGAAGCCATAAATCAGCCCTCGGCCTTAAAACCCTAAAACCCCAAAGGAACGGTCGCAAGCCACGGACAGTACGGTCCTAATTGAACTCCTAGTTACGTGTGGCACGGAGAAATGCCGCCCCTACAACTAGGGAATTAGCCTCTACGAAATTGATCCCGTAGCTACTACAAACTAACCCCTCGCGATTTCTGAAATTACCCTTCACTACTACGAACTACTTAGTTGAAATGTTCGTGTAATAATTAGGGAACGGTGTGTGGTGGCTCTTAGGGATGAAGCCTATGGTGGGTGAGGGAGGGAGGGCTAACCAACAAAGATGTGTTGAGTTTGAGCTCAAAAAATGAGCTCAAACTCAACTTGGCCGCGACCTAAATTTGGTCGCGGCCAAATTTGACGCGAACACTTTAGTGTTCGCGTCATCCACTGGACGAACACGAACATGTTCGTGTTCGTCCACACTCCACCAAATGGAGGTGGCGAACGGCGAACATGTTCGGGCGAACACCGAACATGTTCGCCTCGAACTATTTTTTCCAAAAGGTGTTCGAGATCCTGCTCATGTCTAACTCACAAGGCCTATTTGCCATGGGAGAGAAAGAGGAGACAGACAGATGCGTGTGGTGGTACATATGTAAGGACCATCCAGCACGTCAGCTGCCAGCATCAGCCATTATGAGCCTGACTAGGGTCAAAAGGGATGAGATAGTTAGAATATAGCGAGCTAAAGACTAGAATGTTGGGTGTAGAGTTGGGTTTGGCTTCATCATCTTTTGTGGTTGGGGTCCAGGGTTTGGCTTTCAATTCAACCAACACTTATTGGAATCCCAATAATGTTGGTCAACGTCAACCCAACTAGCACTTATTGGACTCTCGATAATGTCGGCCAAACCAACCAACACTTATTGGTCCCGTCCAATAATGTTGGCTAGCTCAACCTAGTTCACCACCAACTATATGTATACCCTGAGCTCACTTGAGCTATCAATCAGAGTTCTTTTCCCTTCCCTAAGGAACTCCCAGCCATAATGCTGAACTAAGCAATCCTTGTCCTCGTGCCTCCTTCCCGGCACTCGTGCCACCTTCCCAACCCTCGTGCCACCTTCCCGGCCTTTGCACCATTTCCCGGGCATTTGAGCCACCTTCCTTCCCTTGGGGACATTTGTCCCACCAGCTTGCTCCCTTCCCCAGGCATCAATTTCTAGAGGTCGAAACGTGTTCCCACGCTTCCACGCGGTTAGGACCGTTCAACACGTTTTGAGACGTCACAAAACGTGTTGAACGGTCCTTGCCTCGGGATTTGGGGAATCTAATTTTCCATTCTGGAGTCTTATAAGAAGCTGACCGCACTCTCAGGATCTTTTACCCATCTTGTTATCAGCTTTTGCGAAATGGTGCATCTGCCTGATTCGATCGTCAAGCTTTCTTCTCTGGTCTTCCTGAGGATAAGATTCACCAATATTGTTCTCCACTGCTTGTCAATTTCGGCCATCTGCGAGCGCTCAAAACCCTAAAGCTGCCATACAGGATTACCCTTTTTTCCCCCAGTCTCTTCCTTACCTGCCTTCTCCCAACAACCTCGACCTTTTCATGAGTACACTCGTCCATTTTGGGTTATCAGAGCTGCGGAATTTCAAGCTGAAGTGGATTGATCTCACACGTTTTCCTGATTCCTTCGCTCTTGCATCAAGCTTCAGGTTCTTCCCAACGAGAGCAATGGAATCAGAAAAACGTGTGAGATCAATCCACTTCAGCTTAAGAGTCCGCAACTCCGATAACCCAAAATCGACAGGTAGAGAGGAAAGTGTACTCATGGAAACGTCGAGGTTGGTGGGAGAAGGCAGGTAAGGAAGAGACCGGGGGGGGACAAAAGGGTAGTCCTGTATGGCAACTGCCAACAGCTTTAGGGTTTTGAGTGCCTGCAGATAGTCGGAATTGGCAAGCAGCGGAAAAACAATATTGGTGAATGCCTTATCTTCAGGAAGACCAAAGAAGGAAGCTTGTCGAATTAATAAGGCAGATTCACCATTTCGAAAAAGCTGATAACGAGATAGGTTAAAGTGACAAGCTGATCCTTTGAATCATGGGAGCGTGGTCACATATGTAAGAACCGTTCAACACGATTTGAGACGTCACAAAACACTGGTGCGGGCTTAAACAAGGGCCATCCACCACGTCAGCTGTCAGCATCACATCACCCTTTGTGAGCCTCACTGGGTTAAAAGGGATGAAATGACTGGAGATAGAACTAGAGTGCACTAGTTTGGCCCACGGCGAAACTCGCCTGCTACACCTCCATGAGAAGCGGGAGGCAGAGCAGCAGAGGGGGGCGGCAAAAGCGGGCGGCAGAAGGGGGCGGCAGAAGGAATTGTCGGAAGGGCCGCATAGCTTACAATGAAGATGGGGATTCCTCGGTTCTTGGCCTCCAAAAGCAGCAGCAGCGTGCACTCTCGCACCTGATGGGAGGAGAGAAGAGAAGAAGCGGGTATGTGGCAACAAGAGATGTAGCGATTTGAGAAGGGGTCAGGGCTCACAACGCATGCAGGATGCAGATGCCTCGGCTCTTGGCCTCCAGTAGCAGCAGCGTGCACTCCCGCACCTGACAGAGGGCAGGGGGGGAAGGGAAGCAAGCGGAAGGAGAGGGGAGGGAAGGGAGAGACGGGAAGGGAATGGGTGGGGAGGGGAGGGTAGGCAATGGAAGGGAAAAGATGGGAAGGGAAGGGGAGGGAAGGGAAGGGAAGCGGAAATGGGAGATGTAGCACACGTTGTCACAATTTTCGAGGCGTCACAGAATTCACCTCTGCTACTGACAACTCTCCCTCTCCCCTCTCCCCTCTCCCCTCTCCCCTCTCCCCTCTCCCCTCTCCCCTCTCCCCTCTCCCCTCTCCCCTCTCCCCTCTCCCCTCTCCCCTCTCCCCTCTCCCCTCTCTCCTCCCCGTCCACCCTGCCTCACCTGGCTGACGCTGCCCAATGAGCCGGTGACACCTGGCAGGTGCATGGTCTGAATGGAGTCCACAATCACAGCGCGCGGCTCTATCTCTGTGATCCCCTCCAGTATGCTCTGGAAGGAAGAAAGGGCCAAGGGTTGTGGGCAGGAGAAAGGTGGTGGTGGGGAGAGGCGGTGGGGAGTGGTGGCGGTGAGGGCAGTGAATGGAGTCCACTATCACAGCGCGCGGCCGTGATCCCCTCCAGTATGCTCTGAAGAAGGAGAGGGGGGGAGGTGGGGGAGGAACATAATTGTGGGGAAGAGGAGTTTGAGAGAGGAGGTGATAGTGAGCGAGGGCAGTGAATGGAGCCCACTACCACAGCGAGCGGCTCTATCTCCGCCATGCCCTCCAGGATGCTGCACACAAGAGAAAAGAGACCGGGGCGACACAAGGGTTGTGAAAAAGATGAGGTGGGGTGGGGAGACGAGGTGACGGTGAGGGCATTGAACGGAGTCCACAATCACAGCGCGCGGCTCCAACTCTGCCCTGCCTCCAGGATGCTTTGCACGGGCGACAGGAAAGAGGTGGTGGTGGTGGGGTGGGGTGGGGTCACGGCATGGTCTGAATCGAGTCCAGTCCAGTCCACTATCACAGCGCACGGCTCTATCTCACTGATACCCTCAAGAATTCTCTGCCCGGGGCAAGGGGCGGCAGGAACGAGGTGGTAGTGGGGTGGCGACACTGCATGGTCTGAATGGAGCCGAGTCCACAATCACAGTGCGTGTCTCCATTTCCGTGATTCCCTCAAGGATGCTGCAGGAGTGAAAGGGGAGGCAGGAACGAGGTAGTGATGGTGGAGTGGAGAGACGCTGCATGGGGCGGAACCCCTGTAGGGGGAGCAATGTAGACATGAGCAGACTTTTGAGGCGCCTCAGAAGGCAGAACCCCTGCAGGGGGGGAAATGGAGACATGAGCAGGATACCGGGCGTCGGCGGCCAGGGCCCGGCCCGGCCCGCCTCAGGCAGGGGTGTTGTATTTCGCCAGTGAATCAACCTCGGGCCGGCTCGGGACAGACAGAGGGCACCTTGGCCGCCAGATCCACGCGGATATGTGAATCAAACACGGCGAAAGGGGACGCGTTCAATGTCACATCCGTGCGTGCAGGGCCCTGGCACTTTCACAGCGGGGCCGTAACAGGTTCGGTTCGCGTTCAGCCAAGCAGGCTGCAGGTAGGCCCCATTGGACCAGGCCGACCCTGATCCGGTCGCCCGATCGGACTGATTGGGCAGAAACAGCATGAGGGGCTTGTGGCATGAGGTGTCTCGTAAGGAGTTTCTCGTCATGACAAAACAAGTGGACTCGGTCAGTAGGTAACGCGGGCTCGGTAAGTAAGGCGGGCGGTTGATACCTCAAGCCTCAAGGTTATTCTCGCAGAGAAGGAAAGGGTTATCCGCACTGATGATGCCCAGGCGCTTGGCCAGGCCACAGTGATGCCCAGGAAGAGGTGCGGTGTTGGCAGAGGCTTGCTTACCTTCACTTGATGCCCCCGGGGTTCTCACTCAAACCAAGTGGACTTGGTAAGGCGGGCCGTTCGGTTGGCTGTTACCTCAAGGTTGTTCTCGGTGGAATTAGTACCAAAGGCTTGGTTACCCCGAGTTGCTTCTCACTCAAACCAAGTGGGGCTGGGAAGGGGGAGGTGGTACCCCCAGGTTGTACTCAGAGAGCAGGAAGAGGTTGTCAACAGTGATGCCCGTGAAGTGACTACTGGGTTCTTGACTACTGGGTTCTTGACTACTGGGGTTCTCACTCGTACAAGGAACTTCCAAGTGAAGTTGGTAAGGCGGGTTGGTTGGTACCTCGAGGTTGTTCTCGGAGAGCAGAAAGAGGTTGTCTGATGTGATGCGCAGGCGCTTTGCCCGCGTGGCAAGCTGCTCCTCGCGCTGCAGAGAAAGATGGGTGGGGGGGCACCACACAGTGGGAGAGGGGCACATGGTGGGAGAAGGGCACAAGGTACATCGTACGTTGCTCTGCTGCCAGATGCTCGTCCCAGGGAAGGGAGAGCGGAGGGCTGGCTGGCGGGAGGACAGAGGAAAGCGTGCGGCGTGCGCAGAGGTGAAGCATTCAGGCACAGGGAGGCAAGTAGTAACACGGTGGCATCACTCTGCTCATGCCCGCCCACTTGCCTTCACTGATTTGCCATGCCATGCCATGCCATGCCATGCCACCCACCCAGCCTTTCATGTGCACAAGGTTTTCACAAGCGATCCTGGTTCGGTTGGTTCAATTCATCATCCAGCCCAGCCAATGGTTCACGTCCTTCAGAACAGAGCAGGGGAGAAAGGTGGAACGCCTTCGTGCAGTCTGAGCATATCGAGGAGACCAAACACGCGTCTTTCCCCAGCCAGAAACCGGCCAGTCACCCTCCCTGCCCTCCCACCACTTGCACATGCTCAATATCAGAGACCAGGCGCAACACAACGAGACACATGCGTTCTCTACCTATTCCGCGGACACGTAAAGCACAGCCGCCGGCGAGCCTCCTGTTTGCGACAGCAGGCAAAACGGCGCGTCACCTCCCCCAAACTCACTTCCCCAACCCACCTCTTCCCCCGACACATAAAGCACAGCAGGCGGGGAGGCTCCTGTCAGTGAGCCCCTTGCCTCCTCTGCCAGCAGCCCTGCCAACTGCGTTTTGAGGGGAGAGGGAAACGGTGACGCAGTTGATGGGAAGGAGGGATGCACATCAAGGCAGGGTGATGCGTCAAGAGTTAGCTTCAGTGCGAGTGCAGGAGTTCATATGTTAATAGAGCAAATATCTGAGGAATCACCTGAAGCAGAAGGGTGCTCTTCCCGGCACCTGGGCTGCCGGACACAAGCACCAGGGAACCTGGCATGGTGGCATTGGAGCAAATGTGGAAAGAATAAAAGGGAAGAGAAGAGTCAATGTTTGAAACGATCCAGGAATAATTTGCTGGGCACAAGCACGCACCACGGAACCTGCCGGTTATAGGCAGTGAGGGAGTGGAGGGGAAATGGGAAAACGGCTCGAAGAAGAGATAATAAGCTTAAGTGAGACGGGGATGTGAGAAAAGAAGACGGACAGATAGAAAACGGATGCCTATCTGTCTCCAACATCCCTGCTTGCCTCAAAAACGGGCCCACCAATGCTCACCACCAGTGGCACCAATTAGTTCATTCAACCCCGCTTTTCAACACATGCGCGCACGCACCCCTTCACCCATTCTCTTGAGCTCTCTCCTCCCACACACACCCAACCACACACATGCACACCCATCCACAGACCACACATATGCGAATCTCATTTTCTCGAACCACATCCGCCATCACACTCTCTCCCCCTCACTCTCATCCCACCTCATGGCCCACACTCACCCACTCACTCTCATTCCACTAACCACACTCATCCACTCACTCTCATTCCACCAACCACACTCATCCACTCACTCTCATCCCACCAACCTCACTCGCCCACTCACTCTCATCCCACCAACCACACTCACCCACTCACTCTCATCCCACCAACCACACTCACCTACAAACTCTCACCCACACTCACCCAGCACAACCCCTCCGCCCAGCACTCTGCAAATCTCCTCCCCCTCCGGCCCCTTGCTGCCACAGGCACACGCTCAAGCAAGAACAGTCATGCAAGGAAAGGAAGACAGAGAGGAAGGCAGCGGAGAGAATAAGGCAGACAGAAGCAGAGACAGGGCAACAGGCAGAGAGAAACAGGCAGAGAGAACTATAAAACAAAAATCATGAATGGAGCAGGGGAGGGGAGAGATGCAGGCGCACGGAGAAGAGATAGCAGGGGAGAGGAGAACAATTTGTCAAGGCAGGGAGGGAGAACGCATCCTCAAACGGTTTCCCCTCAAAGAAGGAGGAAGGTGTCCTTGCCAGTTACCTCTCAAAAACACCTTCGTCTCTGAGAGGGACGGATGAATAAAGAGTTGACTTTTGAGTCGACTCAAAAACACCTTCGTCTCTGAGAGGGACGGATGAATAAAGAGTTGACTTTTGAGTCGACTCAAAAGTCGTCTCTGAGAGGGACGGATGAATAAAGGACATAGAGAGTGGAGTGGACACTGGCAAGATGCAAGGAGTACATGAAACGCTTCCGGGATACATGAAGTGATATCAAGGACGCAAAACTGACTGACCTAGCCACATGCGCCCGCTACTTACGGATCCAGCTGTCGCCAGCTGATTTGACCACTTTGGGGCGCCTCGAAAGGACACTGCCACTCCATCTGTGCACGCACTTGCTGCTTACAGAGACAAGTGCCAGCTGTCGCCAGCTGATTGGATGACCTCTTGAAGCGGCCGTGCCCGTGGCCTGCTGCTGCTCAGAAGCAGACTGCTGCTGCTGCTGCCATAACCATTGCTGCTGTTGCTATAACCACTGCTGCTTCTCCCGTTGCTGCTATTCACCCAGCCACCGAAACTACTCCCTCTTGACCTTCCTGTCCTGCTGTACTGCTCGCTGTCACCCTCCCCCTCCCGTTCCTCCCCTTCCTCGTCATCCTCCTCCTCTTCGCCTTCGTCCTCCTCAATTTTCTCCTCATCCAGCTCCTGATCCACTGCGCCTGGCCGCATTGATCCAGTGCTGCTGCTACCACCAGCATCTGTCCGAGGATATGCTCTCCTCACTCCACTGTTAACACTGCTACCATTGCTGCTCGCTTCGTCAGCTCTTCGTTTTTTCGGATCTTCCCTGTCCCCCAGGCTACCCGCATTCCCTCTAGACCGTTCAAATGCCCGGATGGCTGCCCCCCCCCCTCCACCCCTTGGCCCTGGCTCATCGTCGGTCACCGTGAATCTTTTCAAGCTGCCCAGCGCGCCACAGGCGGAGCAGTCCCCCCACCACTGCTTGCTCTCGTTTCCGCACTGGTCGCACACGTACACCACCTTGTCTCGTTTCTTTTTTCTGGGCTCCCCGAAGCTCCCAGTGGCAGCCACAACAAGCCGTGAAGCTGCCCGTACTTGAACTGTAGATAGCCTGGAGGGTGCAGCAGGAAATGGCAGCAGCGGTTGCAAGAACAGCTGCTGCTGCTGCTGCTGATGTCCGCGATTGTTTGTGAGCGAACTATTACTCTGGTGCCGATGCTGCTGTTTCCGATATTCCTCCGGCAGGCATGAAAGCGATTTCCGTTTTCCTTGATCTGTGTGAATCCCTTGCCTTGTTCTGTCGCTCGCCTGGGGTGTTACATGGGTAACGACAGCGCGTTTCGGTGATCTTCCAAGGAAAGTGATACTACCTAGAGGGGCGCAAACTGTTCGCAAGAACGAAAGCCTCGTTGATATCGAATAAGCGACAGATATCATGCTTACGCTATAGATGGTTGTTATCGGATAATCCTGTTGAAGAGCAGTCGTAATAAGTGACGAATCGTAGTGAATCCGAGCAGAGGCGCCTCGGAAACAGCAACTTGCATTTCAGCTCACGAGGGCTCTATTTTCGGGCTCGTTCAAAACCCATCCAAATTGAAGCGAGTTTTCTTGTCCGCACTCAATCTAACGTAACATTTTCAGATGAGCCTATGTGTTTCCACTATCAGAAACTGTTATAAAGAGTACTGCGAATTTGTTGATTTCGAGGGGAAGCAGAAATTCATCAGCAGAGAATGTAAGTGCGTTTGGCAAGGAGCCTTGGTGCTGTGTTTTCCACCAGGCAGACTATAGGACCTCGTCTTGAACGTCAGATTTCCTGTCAGCACACGTCTACATCAAGACGACTGCTGCACAGGGGGGGCGTTGTTTCACAGCGTATGTTTCTAGTGCTGAGCTCATACATGCATCGAGCGAGCATATTGTGATTCTCAAGATGCGTATAGACCATCAGCAATATGTCCCAAGACGGACAGGAACGATTATATGTCGCCGAACTGTCGCATGGTCAAAATGCGCTGTCGTCGCGACGTCGCCGAGTCAGCGAGGATCTGTACGGTTCAGCGTCGTTCGTCGCCACGGGACCCTTTTTTCCCACTGTACCATCGTTCAGTACAAAAACGAAAAAAAGTATCTTTCGCATTTCTGAAAAAGTGCACTCGGATCACTCAGGGGTAGTACCTGCTGCGTCGCACTCCTTCGTACTTCGTCGCACAGTATGGCTCTTCTCGCACTCCTCACCCACCAGGAAAGGGTGAACGCATTGAGCGTCTTCGTGCTCCTAGCTCCCAGCCTCGCGATCTTCTCTCTCGTCGTCGCCATTTTCTGGCTGCTCGGGGTTTACAGGCAGAAGATAGGCTATGGTCCTCCCGCGTGGCCGATTCTCGGCACCTTGCCTGAAATGTTACTGGCGTTTCCGTATCTCTACGACTGGGCGACAGCATATCTCGAGGTAAATCCTCTAGCTTGTTCCGTAACAGCTTCCGTGACAATGCTCTTCAGGCGACCATCACCATAACCTGGGCGAATGTTGATCCTGATCAGGCTAGTCCCACGATGACCTACATCTCGCTAGCGCCTGGCCTCAACGAAGTCGTCACTGCAAACCCTAAGAACCTCGAGCACATTCTCAAGACCAATTTTGCCAACTATCCAAAGGGTCCGAACTTCCAGGTATGTACAAAATGGTCTTTTAGGCAAATTATGACAGCCTTTTGTAAGCCATTGCTGACGAAAAGCAAATAATACTTCGAAATAAACAAATAGCGACGATGACGTCGAAGTACCATTTGCTCAGACCAACTTCGAAGACCTTCTTGGCCACGGCATTTTCAATAGCGACGATGACGTCTGGAGGCAGCAGCGCAAGACTGCCAGCCTCGAGTTCTCCCAGAGGTCACTCCGAGACCTCATGATGGTGTCCATCCAAGAAGAGCTCCTCCAACGCTTCATCCCTACCCTGGAAGAGGTGCGTGAGGCAAGGCGCCGGAATTTATGGGTATTAGTGAATGGCTCGGCAGAAATTCCTTGATTCATAGTGAGCATAACTTTTCCTGTGGTTTGGGTGTTTGGCGTTGGTGATACTTTGGCGATAAGCAGGCCTCTATGTCGAGAACGCCAGTGGACCTCCAAGACATTCTGCTGCGGTACACCTTTGACAACATTTGCAGAATTGGGTTTGGTGTTGATCCTGGCTGTCTTGAGCCGGGCCTTCCAAAAGTCCCATTTGCGCGAGCATTTGACGAGGCCACAAAGGTATGGATGTCTTGCGTTGATCAAAGACCGTTTGTTGCCATACTGATTGAGTTTCTAATCACTGGCGTTTGAACATTTCTTCAGGCAACACTTTACAGAAACTTGATTCCTGAGTTTGTCTGGAAGGCATTCAGGTTCCTTCGTTTGTTCCAAGAGGGGACGCTTTATGCAGCTGTGAAGGTATGGCCATACACTAAGTCCCTCCTTCGCTTTGGTCCAGGGATTTCGCTAAACCAACCCCTATAATCTATTCTGTTCATGTGTGGTTCCAGGAGATCGATTCTTTTGCTGAAGATGTTATTAGAAATCGGCGCACTGAGTTGGCAAGCGAAAAGAAACAGGAAGCAGTTAATGGTGCTGTAACTGACCATTCAGATATTCTCTCCAGGTGAATACATCTTTTTACGCTGTATCTTGAAAGGTCTTTGTGATGAGTACCAACGATTTTCAGTGTATATTTGATCTGTCTGCAGGATGATGCTTCTTGAGAAGGATGATGGCGGTCAGCTATACTCCGAAAGGTTCCTCCGTGATGTTTGCACGAATTTCATTCTTGCTGGAAGGGATACCTCGTCTGTCCTCATGACCTGGCTCTTCTGGCTGCTGACGTGGCACCCTAGCGTGGAAGAAAAGATATTGGCGGAGGTGCAGTCAATTGTTGCTGTGCGTGAAGGTGGGTAATCTACAGCAGTGAGTTTGAGGTGAACGATTGCTGGTTACAGCTGCTTGTGATCCACAAGGCCGAGGCGTGACTTGTTGACTGCCGCTTTCGCAGGTGACAAGAGCTTTGGAGCATTCACCTATGAAGAGCTGAAGCAGATGAAGTATGTGCATGCAGCAATCGCTGAGTCACTTCGGCTCTATCCATCTGTTCCAGCGGATTTCAAGTGAGTTCAACCGTACGGCACTGATGTTGCTGTAGCAGACCCTTCTGCTGAAATGCGTTTCTCACAAGCTTGCTTCTTTTTCAAGTGCAGGCATGTCGTAAAGGACGATGTGCTATCCGACTTTTGAGTCGACTCTAAACTTGGAATGTATTTCTCACATTGCTTGTGTTTCAATGATGTGCAGGCACGTTGTGAAGGATGATGTACTGCCCGATGGGACACACGTGAAGAGTGGTTGGCGAGTGCAGTATGAGCTCTATGCTATGGGTCGCATGACTCGCATCTGGGGACCCGATGCGAGAGATTTCAAGCCAGAGCGATGGTTTGATAGCAATGGTGAATTAGTCAATGAATCGCCTTTCAAGTTTCCGGCATTCAACGCTGGACCTCGCCTCTGCCTTGGGAGAGACCTTGCCTATCTTCAGGTACTGCGCCCCTCCCTGCTGTTGTTACTTTCTCTACGTCCAGGATTGTTTGGTTCATCAGCCTTAGCATACCTTTATTTAAACCACAACATTCTATGGATGCTTGCCTTGCAGATGAAGTCGATCGTTGCCAGCACAGTTCGCCTTTTCCGGCTGGCGCTTGTGCCCGGCCATAAGGTTGAGTACAGCATGTCGCTTACCCTCTCCATGACCAATGGGTTGAAGGTCTTCGTGACTCCCAGGTGAAGTGGAAGTTACCCAGTCAAAGAAATCATGTTGCTCGCCTTGCATACTCAGACGCTTGACACACGAAGCGGCTTCATCATAAATTAGAGTCTTCAATAAATGCAGCACATGCAGCATGCATGTTGGCCAATTTCTGAAAATCGTTCTGTGTAGGTAGGCTGTTGTTGTAAGCGTAAAGCATGCGGTATGCGACCAAAATGACAGACGGGCTGAACTTGTCAAATTGCATTTGTTATCTCTAGGCTGTAGTGGGGGCATACTCTAAGGAGTACAACACTTTAGGTCATTCCTAGTACTTGTACTCATTCTTCCCTACTAGTCAATCATTCTTACATTCTATTTCTGACATGATATTCAGAGCAGGTCCCTCCGTAGGACCACTCCGTTAGGGCCCACCAACCGTACATACTGTCCCAGGAGCAGCTGCCGTCGCGCTCCTGCCCTGCCCTGCCCAGCGCTATCGCGCTGCCCCGCCGCGCGCTGCCCTGCTGCCGCGCGTGCTGCGCTGCTGCCCGTACTGCCCTGCTCGCCGCGCACCTGCCCGCACGCGCGCTGCCCACGCGTGTTCTGCCCGCACTCGCGCTGCCTACGCGCGCCCTGCCCGCACGCACGCCGCCTACGAGCGCCCTGCCCGCACGCGCGCTGCCTACGCGCGCCCTGCCCTGCTGCCCGCGCCCCGCTGCCTTGCAGCCCGCACGCCGCCCTGCCCTGCAGCCCGCGCGCTGCACTGCCCTGCTGCCCACACGCCCTGCAGCCCACGCGCTGCCCTGCCCGTGTAGCCCTGCAGCCAGTGCACTGCCCTACCACTACAGCGACTACCGCTACTGCTACAGCTGCAACTACAGCGGTCGCTTCTGTCGCCCTTGCACCGCTGCTACTGACTGCCACTGCCTGT